CCTGGGAGCACCATGGAGATGGACAAAACCCGGGGTGAGTGGGGAATGGGGCATTCCAGAGGGGGAATTCCATCCCTATCCTATGGGATGGGCACCTGGGAGTACCATGGAGATGGACAAAACCCGGGGTGAGTGGGGAATGGGGCATTCCAGAGGGGGAATTGTATCCCTGAGAGGGAATTCCATCCTTTGGAGCACCGGCTGTGCCACGTGGAGATGGACAAAACCCGGGGTGAGTGGGGACTGGGGAATTCCAGACAGGGAATTCCATCCCAGAGTATTCCAGAAGAGGAATTCCATCCCTGGGAGCACCATGGAGATGGACAAAGCCGGGATGGGCTGGGGTTGGAGCATTCCGGAGTGTTGGGGTCAGTTCCAGAGGGGGAATTCCATCCTGTCCTGCTGGCGTGGGAGCTGCAGGGACAATCCCATCTCGCCTCCCTGGGGCTTCCTGGGAGGTTTTGTGCTCCAGAATCCCCCAGGAATCCCTGGAATGCTGCACAAATCCCAGAAGGATTCTCCATGACCTCAGTATTCTCCATGGCTCATTCCATGGTTTTCTGTGAGGATCCCACTGGGAATTCCTGGGAGTTTTTGTGCTCCAGAAATCCCAAAAGGATTCTCCATGACCTTTGTGTTCTCCATGGTCCATTCCATGGTTTTGTGTGAGGATCCCACTGGGAATTCCTGGGAGTTTTTGTGCTCCAGAAATCCCTGGAATGCTGCACAAATCCCAAAGGATTCTCCATGAGCTGGGTGTTGTTCCTGCTTTTCCAGAGTGGGCGGAGCAGCTGACCCAGATGGGCCGAGGGAAACATTTCATCGGGGATTTCCTCCCTCCTGACGAGCTGGAAAAATTCATGGAGACCTTCAAGGCACTCAAGGTGAGGAATTCTGGGATTCTGGGAATGCTCCAGGCTCATCCCACAGCTGGGAATTCCTCCGGGGGGGGGGGGGAAAAGGGATCAGATTCCCACTCTTGCACGGAAATGGGGAAATATTTGGGAAAAATTCCTTCCCTGGGAGGGAATGGGGTGGAATTCCCAAAGGGTTCCGTCCCTGGAGGTGTCCAGGGAAAGTTTGGAGCATCCTGGGATTTTGGGAAGTGTCCCTGCCCATGGGGCTGGATGGGCTTTAAGGTCTTTCTCCATTCTGGAATTCCAGACAAACCTCCCACTGGATTCCTCAGTGGGCACCCAGCTGGGAAAAAATGGGAATTTTTCTCCAGCTGATTTTAGGGAAGTGCAAACCCCTAAAACAACTCCAGCACCTTCCAGTCCTTCCCAAACCCTGGAATTCCTGGAAGCTGCCTCATCCCTGTTTTCCAACACAGAGCCTGACATTCCCTGGGATTCAACCTCAAAAAAAAAAAAAAAAAAAAAAAGGGATCTGAGGCTGGGTCCAGGGAATTCCATCCTGAAATTCCAGAGCTGTTGCTGGAGCTTCCTTCTCTCCTCAGGGAATTTTCCCAAAATCCCAGTTTGGGGAGAGGGGTGGAGCTGCTTTTCCCTGTTCTCCTGTGATCCATGGAATAAAAAAATTCCCATTTTTCCTGCTGCAGGAGGGCCGGGAGCCAGATTATTCCGAGTACAAGGAATTCAAGCTGACTGTGGAAAACATTGGATACCAAATGCTGATGAAAATGGGATGGAAGGAAGGAGAGGGATTGGGATCCGATGGACAGGGAATTAAAAATCCTGTCAGCAAGTGAGTGCTCCTGTGGATTATTCCTTTTTTTTTTCCCCAGGAATTCCTGCTGGAATCGCAGCCTGGCTGGGATTCCTCACCTGAGCATGGAAAACTCGGCCTGGGAAAAAATTCCTGATTTTTTCGGGGAATTTTCTCCTGAATTTGTGGCTGTAGCTGGAATTGTTCGAGCCCCCAAATCCTGAATTTCCAACCCCAGATTTCCACAGGGAAGTGCAGCTCCAAGAATTCCTGTGTGCACCTCCCCTCTCCCAGGATTAAATCTTTAAAATCCAGGAATTCCTGGGAGTGCTGGTTCTCCTTGGAGTCATAAAATCATGGGAATATTTTTAAAAGCCCATCCAGGGGAGGATATTCCAGCTTTGTGTGATCCTACAAAGTCTTGGCTTCATTCCATGGCCAGAAATGTTGGGATTTGGTCCCACTTTGGGTATTCCAAAGATTTTTTTTTTTTTTTAGGTGGATCAGCTTCCATCCAAATTCCCAGGGATTTGGGAAGTGAAACCAATCTTTGCTTCCACCCAAACCTTGGGAATTTGGGAAGGAGAGGCAGGAAAATTTCAGGGGCGACAATTCCAGTGGGAATTCCTGGATTTGGGAAGGAGATCTGGGAGCATTTTGAGGACAATTCCCATGGGAATTCCTGGGATTTGGGAAGGAGATCCAGGAGTGTTTCAGGGGGACAATTCCCACAGGAATTCCCAAATTTGGGAAGGAGATCCAGGAGCGTTTCAGGGGGACAATTCCCACGGGAATTCCCAGATTTGGGAAGGAGATCCAGAAGATTTTGTTGGGAGTTTCCGGGGCGCAGGGCGTGTCTGATTCCCGGGTTTCCGCAGGGGCACCACGGCCATGGACGGGGCCGGGTTCGGCATCGAGCGCCCGGCGGAGCTGAGCAAGGAGGACGACGAGTACGAGGCCTTCCGGAAACGGATGATGCTGGCATACCGCTTCCGGCCCAA